GTCCCAGCTGATCAGTTTAAATAGTAACAATGTTTTATAGCTCTCAAATTATTTGCATTTTCTGCCTACTGGAGAAGGATCAAAAGAAAGCTATTGCAGCCAGTGAATTATCTTACCTTTGAAGAAGTCTCCAGGAAAATCAGGAGGAGGTGAGACCATTGGGGAGTCCAAGTTCACAATGGATTTCATAACAATCTCCAAAGCATTTCTGCCATACTGTGAAAGGAAAAGAAAGTTATTCTATCAATGGGATCCAGTCTTTGTGCCCCAAGCACATATACTTTGATTCACAATAAAACATTTTTCTCTGCAATAGTAAAGGGAATTGGTTATTACCTTTATGTAGTGTAGCTTATAATTGAAAACAAAGCAGTCTTAATTTCTAATTAGAACTGCCAAATCAATCTTTCAGCTGTGATGGAAAGGACACACCATTTAGTTAAGACTTTGCCAAGGCAGAACAGTGATTTACACACATTTGTGTTCTACATGGCTTTGCAAACAGAATTAAGAATGTTACTGGCTACCTCAGAAAGTGATACAGTTAAAGGTAGGAGATGGGAAAGATCCTTCCTCAACAGGTCATTTGTGGAATAAGCACCACAGCACAGGTTTTCCAACAAAAATAGAACCATCACCTTGTTGTCAAAATTGAATCTGCTGAGGTCTCGAGTTTCTGTGGCCCTTCTGTCCCCGTGGGTGAGGGCTCCCTGTTAAGACACGCAGTTGTCATTAAACAGAATTTTAAGAAAAAGAAATCTAATTTGCATTTTCTCAAATGAAGGTTCAGACCACTTGAAACAATCTTACCAAGCTCTCCAGTCTTTTTGCAACTATGGATGCAAATCTTTGCTCTCCTGCCAGTTCAGAAATGAGGAACACATACTCTGGAGCAGTCACTTGGTTGGATCTGTGAGTTCTTCCTGGATAATTAAATAGAAGTACATATGTTAAATAAATTCCACTTCATGGAATATTTCTAATAAACTATGAATTGTGTAGAGTGAGGAAAAAAGCTAGAACTTAATCCTGCTGAAAATTAAGTTTCTGCTGTATTACAGCCAACAGAAGGCAGCACAGATGCTCTAGAGCTATGGCAACTTTTATAAAGACACTGGATACATGAATAAAACTCCAAAGCTGCAGCACAGGCTTGTTTGCAAGGTTTCTTTCAAAACTTTCAAGACAATTAGCTATGACTGCAGAAAAAGCAGATTCTGCTCATGAGTAAAGAAGACTGGAGGGGTCCTTAAGAGGTCACCTACTCCATCTGATCTCCCGTGAGTCAGCAGTAAACTCAGGCAGTATTACTAAGTTTGCCAGAGAAAGGATACAAAAAGAAGTATTTACCAAACTGCTGTATTGCTCTGTCTGCACTCCAGGGCAGCTCCAGGGTCATGTGAACTCTCCGTCTCTGGTTCTTGGCTCTCCGATCTGCTTGCAATGATATCCCAGAGCTGGCAGCCTCTGAGATGATGGCAATGTTCTTGGAGGAAGAAAAATATAAACCCAAAATCAAGCTTCAGTTTTCAGTGTCTAAGAAAAATCTCATTATACAGCTATGAGCAAACATTAGAGTGGAATGGTGTCACTGTTACTTGGTCTTCCTATCACAAGGAGGAGGGAGGGGAGACAAGGTGTGGTTCCCTTTATCAGAGTTAGAAATGTTAATGAATTTTTTTTGACTGAAAGGAGTGGGTTTTGCTTCTTTACTTTTCAACATCATCTCTGTGCAAATGAAAACAGGTGGTACATGCTGCAGTCTTGCCATCCCAGAGAGCAGGTTGCTCTGACATTGGCCGGCACTTCAGAAAGAAGGGAGGGGACACAGAGACTTGTTCCAATAGTAACAAAGAGAAGACAAAAAGTCTTGAGGAGGATCTGGCCACTCTGGTGCCTTCAAAGAATGTAACTGTTTGGACTGTGCACAAGTCACTTACAGGAACTGAGTCTTTACCCTCAAGTGTCACAACAGACCACACAAGTTCCACACAGTGACATTTACTCCATTTGCCCTCTTGTGGCAGCAAGGTCCAAGTGAACCACTGGGAAGGGCTTTTCCCCCTCCCTCCTTCTTTATCACCTTCAATCCTACCATCATTCCAGTCAGGATTTTCTTTCAGATTGCAATGTAAAGGACAAAAGTCATCACTCTACCCAGCATTACTTCTCAATCCTTGTTAGGGTTAACAACCTCACCTTGTCCCTGAAAGTTTTTTCATACCAAGTCAGAGATTTTCCTCATTTCCCAATTTCATTATTACCTCTTGGAAGGAGAGGTACAGTTTAACAAGATCAATGAATCAGAGATATGAACCACAAATCTGCCTTTTAAACATGTTTTGTTTTACAAGATCAGCTTAAAGGTGCAAGCTTTTGGTTTGGCACATGGGTGCACACCTCAAGGACAAGCCTCTGAGGTCACCCAAACTACTGTCTGACCTTTCAAGCACAGTGGAACAGACTGATTTGAAAAACAAAACACACAGCAGTCAACAGAAAATGCTTATTAACTAGTACTTATGGTATAGGCCCTCTCCAGCTCTCCTGTAGCTCCCTTCAGGTACTGAAAGACCACAATAAGGTCACTGGAGCTTCTCTTTTTCAGAGAAAGGATAACTCTTAGACATACTTCTGTAATGTATTTTGATTTAAAATTGACATATAACAAAGATGTCTCAGCATTCCAGTGCAATTTTTCATTCCTTCTCCTCCCATTGCTAATGAAAGCATAGTGAGAAAGAGGAAACAACAATTTTTCACTCCTTCTTTCATAATTAGGCAATACTTTATCCCAACGCTACTACGAGTCACTGTGCAATGATGGCTGAGCCACAACTCAACAGCTTGGTGTTGCCATGGCATCTGGCATGTTTTATCTCTTTAAGGATTACCTTATCTCCATCCATGAACCTCTGCTTTTCTGTGATGTTCAGGATTTCCACAGGCACGTCCAGCTCAGACCTGGACTCGTAGGAAATGCTGCCGTCGTCGTTGCTCACAACCCGCCCTTTGCGGCCCGTCATCTTCCAAAGGAAAAGGGAACACAGGCTCATTGTGGCAATATCAAAACCACTCCATGACCAAAAGCCCCGAGCAATATTGCTATTTATTCGTGTACCAACCTCAAAATAGAGTCAGCAATTTACTCCAAGTGCAAAAGTACATAGAGAACCTGGGTTATTTTTTGATTGATGCCGTGACCCGCTATGTGGAACACTGATTTAGAGGTAACTCAGGGAACCAAAAAAAGCATAACAAAGCATATCTATGTAAAAATGTCATATTATGCTACTGTTCATAAGGGATTTACCAGCAGTACTAAGAAAATAAACTCAACAGATAGCTTAGAGTGTCATTGATTTTGACAGGGCCTTTTAAATCACAATGATGTTTCTACTTGATAGAGACAGGCAGCTTGAAGACATATTTCTGAAGTTATTGAGAAAGAGAGAATAATTAATCAAGCTTTTCATTAACACACCCGGGTCCTTCATCTCCATTGTCTTGGAGGATGAACTAAAGCTTCAAACTGACTACTGCTAGTTAGAGAAATAAACCACTATGAAGCAAGAGAAACTGGTGTGATTTACCCAACAGGAAACTATCAGGCTCTGAAATGACCCGTTCATCCATTCAGAACTCCTCTCTGTATTCTAAAACAATCTCCAAGTTTCTCTAATTCAGAGCCATCCAGCAAGGTAACCTCTATTCTCACCACCTGTGAGATTACTGCCTAGAACTGATGAACAAGCTCTTTAAAAACATACATTTTTCTACATGTGAACACCAGCCTACCTCTGCAACATTTTCAGGACCACCCAGTTCATCTATAAGCTCATCCAGTGTATTAGGTGGAAGATCTTCAGCCAGCTTTTCCAGTTTATCCAGCAGTTCTTTTTTCATTTGTTGGGCCCTTTCAACAGCATCCTGACTCGTTACAAAGCTGCTGTTTGTGTTGCTGTTTGCTGAAATTTAAGAGATACTCTTTGAGATTTAGAATTTTATTGCCCAACTGCTAAGAAAGTGAATCAACATCAAAAACTTCTTACCAGACGTGTTGGTACTCGAGGTGGTGGTACCAACAGTGGAAGTGAAGCAGCTGGGTCGTTTGGATCCCAGGCCAGAGGCTAGTAAGGCACTTTGAATGGAGTCTGGGTCTATGCTTTTCTTCTTTTTCTTTTCTTTATTTTTTTTATGCTCTTTTCTAATGAGCCAGGGATCTAAAGTTAAAAGTTTCAAACATTTACTGAACAGCCATATTTCCCTTTGAAAGAAATACATTCTCATTGCAAAAAGTGACTTACAGAAGTCTGAACTCCAGTGTGGAAAATCTAATTGAAGATTTACATTCTAATGCTAATTTGAGTCTCATTAGGACTAAACTACGTGATTAGCAAACACTTATTTGTTGTTCATTGAAATGGTTCAGAAAGATTTTCTGCTTATTATTTGCAAATACAGCTACTTGCTTGATGAAACACAAGCTGTCTTACCATCTTCATCATCCTCACTGGATTCATCTCTGAATGGGTTGAAGTCATCATCATCTCCAGAACTCAAGAATTTGGAGCTCTCATTGTCACTTTCTTCATTATCTGAAGCATCAGACTCACTCTCACTCTCATCAGAGCTGCTGCCTGCAAGGCCCCCTGTCTTGCGAGCTTTCTTGGCTTCTCTGCTTATCTCCTCACCTGATCCATCACCCCAGAAGAAAAAGAACTTAGTTTAAAGCTTGTAGTCAACACTTTGAGGTTTGTGTTACCACTGCTGCACACAAACTAGAAAAATACTCAATTTCTAAAAACAGAACTGTTTGAAAGAATCTAAGTTCTTAGCAAAATCTCTCTCCCAAGTTTTTTATCATCACCTACTTTTGGGCAAGAAGATAATCAGTTTGGGAATGGGGGTGTATCAGGCTTCTCTTTACTGAGCCTCAAGAAAAGAAAGCAATTATTTGTGTGACTGCATCAGGAAATGGTTTGTGCAAAGCATTTTGCACCCATAGCAGCTCAATCCAATTTTGAGCAAAAAGTACCCGAAATGTACAGGATATAGTGCTTCAGCAGCAGTTTTAAATCTAATAATGGGAATCTCCAACAAAAGTCTCAGAGACCCGCAATACACACTCTTACATGAATGACTGTACAGATATTCCCATATTTTATCCCAAGTTCACTCCTAGGCAGCTCTGAAGTTGCCATTTCCACTGTGGCATTAGTGTAAGAACATCAGCATTACCTTTTCGTTTCTTTATCTTGTTCTCCTTGCAAGGGCTGTCTCGGGGTGAATTGTTGTTACTTTGAGCAGTCAAATCAATTCCCAACAAGCTAAACAGCTTCTTCCTGTCGGGAGCTGGAAAGTGCTTTTCAATAAGAGACTGGAATACTCCTCTGTGTAAGAAAAAAAAAAAGAGTTCTTCAGTGGAATTTGCATTTATTTAAACTACAAAGCTGTAACATTTTAACTGCTTCAGCTCTCTGAAGAATGATTCCTTATGAGTGCACAGGAGCACTCTGAATATTATCACCTGTATTGCTGTATTTGTCACCTTGAAAGCAGGAGACATTTATTTTACAGCATTGTTACGTAAAATCTACTAAGTCTGGTTTTGATAGTAAGTGGTATTGCTACTGCTATTTTTTTATTGCTCGGTTTAAGTAACAGATTAATTTAATTTATTAAGATTTCCAGCAAGGCAGCCTTGGGATTGGCTCTGGCTCATCTCATAGGAGGAAGTCATGGTTTGCAACCTGCTCTGGTTTAACTGCAGTGCACACTCAGCAAGTCTTCCCCTCCTCCCAGTTTGAGTAGAATAGCACGAGCTGTTCACACCTGAAAACATTTTGGAATGCCAGAAGAACTAGGAACTAACCAAGGGGTCACCTGAGCAATACTGTCAGACCTTAGGTACAGGAAGCTGCAGTAAAGAACATCAGTACTAAAGGATTCCCAACTTTCTGTGCACTGATGAACTTTTGACACATAAAAGGACAAATGACACACACACACACAGAACCAGATGAATGTTAGTTTTGTAAAGAACAGTTCTAAAACTTCAGTCTTACTTTGCTGTGGAAACAAAGTCGTTCAGTTCACCTCCACCTTCCTCCAAAGCTTCCAATGTTCTCGCTTCCCCTGTTGACTGCAGGCCAATGACAACACACTAAGGGACAAATGAACACCACACACCGTCACTAGGTCTGAGCTGCAAGCTTATTTTGCCTGAATTTCTGCTCATTAAATAGCTTTAATACCATAAAGTACAAAAACATGGCTGAAAATATTTGCATTAATATATATAAAAAATTATTTAATAGCTTTACAATTAAGAAAAATATTTAAAAATAGGTTGTGGTCGACTTACTTTGCCATTCTTGATTTCCTCCCGAGCAAGCTGCACCACTCTCTTCACCTTGGAGGCTATGCAAAGGTACTTGAAAAACCTCTGGTGTGCTGACCAAAACTGCCCCCACATGGACTTTTTCATGCGTTGCTCCGCGTCGATGAGATCGGCCGCCTGCTGAAACCTCTCCCGAGCACTGACCCACTGAACAAGACATCGTGAATGGCTTTACAGGTTGTATTTGAAGGCTCAGAGATACATTGTTTAATATCCAAATAAAGACAGGAGAGTTTAAAGCTACAGTATTATGACACTGCACTTTAAGGAAACTCATCAGACAGCAAAGCTCACAAAAAACCCCAGCTATGGCTTAGTAAATTAAGCAATTACTCTCAATAAAAAGCAGATACATTTGCATTATAGCCAGAGCAAACATACACAGTATTTTCTAATTATCTAGCTTCTCCATTAATACATTAAGGTTAAGAAAGCAGAGAGCACTGCCCATAATTAATTATTAAGCACCATCCCAAGAAGAGAAAAACCCACTGCCTTGGTTTGCCTAAATGGAGGCAGAGGAGCACAAGAGTAGGACCAACAGAACAGCTTTATCTTGGGCAACAGTGACCAAAGTGTCTGAAGTACTGCTAGAAGGCAGTGGATTTTGGCAGGTACTGGAAGATACAACCAAAACTGCAACTTTGATGACTCAGAACAAAAATTAACAGCTTTTGCCAAGCCTTAAATGGAGAAATCTTTATATTAAAGACACAAGAAGATGCCATTCCCATCTCTCAACAGGTTGTTTCAGGAGCATTCAAGTTTCGACCAACTTCAACCTCTCAGAACTCAATACAGAAAGCAAATTTAGAAAGGGGTTCTTACCAGTTTCACAGATTTATTGTACATTTTAACATATTCCTGTGAAAGCAGAACTTCGTCGATTTTGAAAGTTACACCTGAAAAGCTCAACTGCCTTGCTATGTACATTCCTCTCAGCTTCATATCCATAGCAACTATTTCCATGGCACCAACACCTCTAAAATAAGGGAACAAATTAAGTCCATATTAGAATTTTCAAGAGCAAGGATTTGTTAAGAAAACCCAAACCCACAACCTCAAGTGCTCTAGAAGAAAACAGCGAGCTTACAAATGTGAAGGAATATGTTTTTGAAATCATTAGTACTGTTTTGTTAAACACATCCCATCAGGGGGTCTGACATTTAGCCTTTACATAAAACTGTATCCCTGCCTTGTGAGAATTAAGTGCATCCCAAGAGGTAAAACTCAGTTATTTTTTTTCCCAAATGACCTAGGAAGCATAAGGAGACAGCACCTTACAAACTGTACGTGGACAATGGCGTTGGTCCAAATGTTAACAGAATCTTGTATTGTAATTTTATAGATTCCACTGAAGATTTAAAATAATTAATACAAACTGTAGTGAGCCATTCGAATTTATGCTGGCATGAAAATTATTTAATTAGTAGGTAACTTCAGTTCTCCTCAGCAGCAACACACCTCTAGCAATACCTTGAGAGCACTGAAGTCACCTGCAAAGCTTTGCTACTCACAGGCTTGGGGCTGTAATTTCATTATTGCTCATTTGATCCATACTCAGTAATGAAGTGAGACTACACTGGCACAGTCTAGAAGAGTCATGCATCATGCAGATGGTAAATAAAATGCATACTAAGCTTTCTGAAGTGTTCAAAATTCTTTAAGTAGACAAAACATACTAAGATGCTCGCCTACCAAAGAATGCAGCAGTGTTTTTTTCTGACCCCTCAAATTCAGTTTTATTGACACATTCTGAAGCATGAAGTATTCTGCCACAGCAGATACAATTTCCCTGAGCTGGGTTCTTATGCCAGTAAGGACAAGAATGAGATTTCCTCCTATTAAATTGCTGAGCTGATGCATAAACAGAGGCCTTCTGCAGTGAGCCATCAACTGCACAGACAGCACACACAGGGTGTTTTCATGGGGAGCAAAGTCTTTTCCTTTCCTAACACCCACATTAAGGTTTTTTTCCCAACAAGCTTCTAAAGCCCTCCAATTTTTCTGTGAGCAAGAGAAACATCCTATTTTTCATCACCTAAGATAAAGTACATTTCTGCCAGAGCTAGAAAGTTCTTGGTGTGACAGGACATGTCTGCAGAGGACTGAGTGAAGACAAGGAACTGCAGAGCACAGTCAGGCACAACTACGTGTGTTCCTGCTGTAGGTCTCTGAAATGAAATATTACCTTCTTTCAACAGCCTGAATAAAATCACTGAATTCCCTAAAGGGAGTTCCTTCACCCCAAATTCCAAGACGGTTCATATATGCCATGTTTCTTGGCTCAGATGCACCTGAGGAGAAGAACAGAGTCTGAACCAGTGCCAGCAAAGACATACAGAGACACCGAGTGCAAACCCAGCAGCACATACCTGTGGCACTGGCATAAACAACCCTGGCTTTGGGAAGTTTATTTTGAAGCTCCAGTACGGCCAGACCTGTCTTTGTTGGTTTTGATGAACCAACAGGACACAGGTTCTTTGCTTTATGACACTCATCAAATACAATCTGAACTGTAATTAAGGAAAACTTCGTCCCACATTTTTAGAGTGAGGATCTCAAACAGAAGGCAAGAAAAACTGCTAATTTCAACAGGTAAATCGTTGACTCAAGAAGACACTAGTGTTTTTTCACTAAAAATCTTGGGAAAACATTTAGCTACTAGTTCAGTATTTAAGAACACAATGGCCAACACTTGAGTTCTTGAGAATGCTGTTGTCCTAGTTAGGACAACTGAGACCAGTTCATCATGGTATGGGTGTAACCCAAAACTGTGTATTCTATAGCCTTCCATGCCATTTCCCAGAAACTGTTGTCAATAGACTATTCGCACCCTCTGCCCATAGAGCCTGACTCCTCAGGCTATAAACTAGGTGTTAAGAGGCCTGTGAGATAGGAGGATGCTCTTGTCCTCACACCCTTTGTGGAACTCCCCGCCCTGAGGGAAGTATTGAGCATTCCTGCCTGAACTGGAGGATATATAATCTTGGAGTCTTGGAACATTTTTAACCACTCGTGGGATCCAGAGGAAGACTGCAGTTCATCGCTCTCAACCTCAGCTGGACTGCAATCACCACTTTTGACCAGACTGCAACAGCTCTCCCACCAGCAGGTTTTTTCCCCTCTCCCTTTACTTTGGACTCAAGCGGGGCCCAAGGAACACCACTTTGTTCATGCCCCAGGGTACTGGGTTATACATTTGGGTTTGGTGGGTTAAGACCAATTGTTTGTTTGTATGATTGTACTTACTGTATTATTTTAATAAATTGTTATTCTTACTTATAATCTCTCCTTTGAGTTGAGTTCATTTCCCCTGCTGGTTAACTCTTAAACCAGCACAGCTGTTGATACTCGAATTTTTTTAATAGTTCACTGGAGAGAATTTTAGTGTAAAGTTAAAATATGACGCTTAAGAATCTTATGTGCTTGTTACAGAAAAAGCAGAAGCTTCCTTCTTGTACCTGAGTTGTGTGGCAACAAGATAATGATAATACTTCTGGCACAGTTTATAAAACTTCAAGTCTCGTGTCAGAGCATGCACACAACTGATTGCCAACACAAATAAGGAACAACACCTACAAATACATTATTATCTGTAAAGATTTAAGTTTAAATAGAAGTTTGGTTAGAATAAACTGAACTCCAGACAAAGGATACAACACCATCAAAGTCTTCACCACACCAGTGAAGCAGCTGCTTTAATCTGGTTTTGTATTTCCCTCCAGACTGACTTTCTCCAATAAGAGAAGAATAGGTAGCAAAGATGACACCTTTCTTCACGCTTCCATTATGTTTGGAAGAGATTTTCCCATACTTGAACTGCAATAAAAAGAAATTACAGAAATTAATCAAAAGAGATCCCTCCTCAATCCCACCTCCCAGATGATTATGGGATGCTGGTGGTCTCAACCTTAAAGGTGTGAACATGGTGACCCATCCATATCCCACATCCTGATTCAGGGCACAGCTGGCACATGGCAATGTGGTTAAGGGGTTATACAGGGCCTTATTTAAATACACACTTAAGGAAGACTAGAGCTGAGGCTTCAGAAGCTTAACAGAAACATTCTTTGGCTACACACTTTCCTTAATTTAAATATAACTGAGATTTTAGTTCCAATGTATCCCTTTAAAGCCAATACCTCAAGTGTATTTACTGCTGCTACCACAAGTGATGATTTCTAAAGCTTTAGTTTAGAAATTAAGAACTCACAAAGCAAAAATATAACTTAAATCAAACTTTAAGTTCAGTGAATTCAACCAGCAATCACACTTCACAATTTAAGTGGCTAATCCTGAGCAGAGGCACAGTCTCCAAAAATAACTGCTCACACCACTGCTGCTTTAACAAGTCACTGAGCAAGTCCATTATTCAAGTATTACACACAAAATGTATTCCATCTAAAATGTGCACTGAGAGATAGAAAGGAAAAAAATCAAATGCTACAAAGCTTTAAAGATTTAAAGAATACTTCAACTTCCTAGAAAATACTCTACTAGCAGTGTCAGTAGTGGCTTGAAGAGTAATTAAAAAAAAGCACATGCTAAGACTTAATCCTACAAGGGGCCTATTTACATGATTAACTTAAAGCTCTGTGTGGTTCTTTGTAAGATTAAGGCCTGTCAAACAAGGCCTAGACAGCACATTTATTGAAATTAGTACATTCTTGCTCTTAAAACAGTCAACATGCACAACCCGTCACACCAGCGTACCTAAGGCTTTGCCTCAACTGTACATAGTAAAAAGTTTCCACACCTTGTTTAATGAATGAACCAATATGTTTTTTGCTCCAATATCTCTCAAATCTCTTTCAGCATCGTATTTCAGATCGTTTGACACACTAAACCTGAGGACAGAAAACAAGGTAAGTTCTGTAAGTACAGCAGAAGCTCAAAAAGCAGTTGCTACAACTTTTGTCAGAAGACAGATGACCCTGAATTGAAGTCATACAGTCACTGGAGTGTCTGCTCTAACAAATCCTCACACACTTACCAGACTGCTCTTTTTCTGCCTAACAAGTAATTTTCATAGATTATTCCAGCTATGGTCCTTCCTTTTCCTACACCAGCACCATCACCTATCAAGAATCCAGCTCTGTCTCCATTGGGCAGGAATGTTTCATGTTGCTGTAGGAGAAAGAACAAAAAACTTGTACCCATTCTCCAGAACACATCACTGGGGATTGTCAGAAATGAGCAAACATAAGAAACATCCTATTGGAGAAGACCAGTGGTCCAAGCAAACTCCTGGCAGCAGGAAAAGGGGATTTTATTTAAGGAAAGCATATGAGCTTAACTGCTTTATGTGATCCATTCTCCCTTCTTCCCTCAGCACACCTATGACTGTTCTACAGATCTGTGTAATTCTTTCAGTGCCTTTTCCTAACACTCCAATAAGCACTTCCACAGCCTTTTACAGCAGCAAGACCCAGACATCCAGAGCCTGTGAACAGCAATGTTGTTCTGCCCATTTTAAACCAAATCTCCTTTCACCAAGTTCGGTTTTGTGGGCTATCACTGACTTCCTGGTTATGTAAACCTATATTTCATTCCCATTCCTTTTCTCCTCTCCAGCCCCAGGTGGCCCAGCCACATTAGTCTTTTTTTCAAGAGGCAACTTCCCTCCTGTGACAATTTTAGTTCAATTTCTCTATCTCCCTCTCCAACACACAGAGTGCTGCACACACATCTGCTGTGGGCACACTGAAGTGTAATTCAGCAGCAAAATAACACCCAGCCTTGCTCTCCATACCCCTCCCAGTGACGTCAAACAGGGCTCAGTTTCTCAGCCTGCTGCTACTGCAGCCATTAAGTTATTTCAGAGAAATAAAAATGACTAACTTCTTCTTCCTGAGTTTTAAGACAGTTAGAGATCAGCATTATGGAAGTGGTTTAGAAAAAGCTTTCCTAGGTGTATTACCTCCCATTTATCTGAACTGAAGCTCACCTGCCACCTCCTAATGCAACTCAAACCTTTAAGCTCTTATTATTTTATCTCATAAAACTGACATAGCTATGCTTGTCAGACAGTAGTTTTTCTTCTTAAATTCTCTGTTAGCTTTTAAGCTGCACTGATATCTGGCATACCTGGGCTGCATAAGTGATTGCTTCAAGTTGCAAAGCTGACAACCAGCCACTATCAATTGTTTCTTCTGATATTGATGTCTGGTACCACACATCAGGAGGAGTCACGCTGGATAACGAGCTGGTTTCCACTACTGGGTCAGGATGACGTAGCCCAATTTTTACTGGGTGAAAAGGAAGGGAGAAGATGAAAACATGATCCAGAGCTCTGGTGCTGCAGCACAAGTTATTATATTTACCAAAACAAATTACAACTGTGATTGCAAAGTCCGAAGTCAGCAACGTTTCATTGCAACAGTCTGTCAAGTGTTAAACCAAGGAACACATTAATCTGAATTTTTAACTGCAATCATACTTTCTCTTCTCACCACCTTCCCCCAATTTTTATAAAATTAGATAAAAGTCACTTAATAGAAAATTAAATTATTTGGGGACTTGACATGTTTGAGAAAAAACAGTCTGGACCTTGTCTTCCCAAAAGGCCAGAGGCAGCCTCAGGATGCCAGAATCACAAAAGCAACATTCTTCTCTCTATTTATATAGTGCTGTTTTTAAGCAGAATGAGAGGAGAAAAGATTTAGAACAGACATGGTTTAATTGCTGACAGATCTCATCAGTGACAATAAAAATTAACTGTTTAGCTACAAACTCCACCTAAAATTTGTTGCCTTGCTTATACAGCAGGTCAACAATGTACTTAGGAAACAAGATAACAGCTTTCTGTCAATGGGTACAATAAAGAGAAAGGAGAAAAAACAGAAGATGGCAATTAACAGCAGTAAAAGATTCACTTAAAAGAAAACCAACCAAGAACCAGTTCTAAGTAGTCAGCCAGGAACAATGCAGGAAGAATGTGCTCAGGGTGATTTCACACCAAAAGACTCAAAGTAGATTTTTAAGTGTAGCAGTGAGCACTTAATCCCCTCATAAAATTTCCTCTGCTGAGGCACAAGGCATCTTAACATAGGTAAAAAAAAATGCCTATCTTGGTTCATCAGTCATATCTGTGAAACAAGTACTGCTCAAAGATACACTAAAGAATTCCCCTTCTATTAAAAAAATCCACATATCTTCCAAAACTAAGCACTGTAGAAGACAAAAAATTTCCTAAGAAAACCTACAACATATTTAGGTTCTTTTAACTTGACTCAGACAGTAACTTGTCTGTTTTCTGCTGTTAGTAATCACAAAACAAATTAGCTCTGAAAGCATTTCAGCCTTTTGATGTAACTAAACAGCAGGTCGTACATTTTATTGGCATATACTCAGCATAAGTCTCTGCATGGCCCATTTCTTCCTCATCTTCTTCCTCAGGTTCCTCCTCCTCTTTTACTGCTGGTACTTTCTGCAAGAGAGAAATACTCCTGTTAGTCAAACAGCACATTGTCAATATTCCATGTCCCGAAAACGAACAGGAGAAAGGAAATGAGGACAAACTTGGACTTGAGTGTTTTAACACATGGGCTGGCTGAACTAGGGAATAGCTGGGAAAACTACAGACAGGAATGTAGGTTCCTCACACTCTGAACAAACCTTCAGAGACAAAGTCATGGAACTTCCTCTCCTTTGCAAAGAGATCAAGTACCCCAAACTTGCACAAGCAGAATTAAAAAGGAACTCTTCTTACAGCATATTAAAACTGGACTATGACTTCAAGAAAACTGTCCCGAAAACACAACAGCCCTAACTTCCAAGTACTCCCCTGAAGTCATGAGGAGTTTCAAACTCATGATATGATTTGACAGCTTTGGGGAATAGTTACAATAGTCACAGCTCTACCCAGTACTCTCTGAAGCCTGACAATTACCCATTTTTTACTGTGGCCTTGATCAGTGGAAGTATTTGAATATTTGTAAAGGACTTGCTAGATGATAAATCAAACATCTTCCACAATTATTAATGTTTAATACAAAAGTGATCTCAAAAGGCTTCTATATGCCAGTGACTGAGGAGTACAGTTCTTCCCAAATTCAGTCTCAGTCCAGCTATCAGTGAAGATGCCAAAACTCAATTACAGCATCAGAATGTAATTTTATTACGTTCAGAAAATTGAAAGATACTCAATTTACATCTTCAATCCAACCGCCCAGGACAGCCGTGCCAGAGGAACTCCTCCGGCTTTCCTCATTGGAAAACAGTTATTTCAAAAGAAAAAGCCTTACCCCAGAGCAAGGGATGTGCTTATCACCTTTAATCAGCACACCCTTCTTCACACATACAATGAGGTTCTGTTAAGAACAGTAATTTCTTGAAATTGTCATTTACTCAGTAGTCTCTGCTCCACACAGCTGTTAGTTTTAGTCATCTAACCAAGTTTTTAGCGGGGAAACTGAGCTTTTGGACAAAACAGCTGCACTTGACAATTCCACCACACACAAGGCACGGATGAGTAACCCCTGAAACTGGCCCCAGGTGCTTGTGGCCAGTAACACACTCATTTGGCAAATTATCTGTACCACTTACCACGGTAGGTGAGAAACTTCTCATTTTAATGTCATTTATCCATATTCTTGCTACCTCTTTTGTGGAAGCCTCCTTCTTCACTGCACCATTGCTCAGGTCAGCTACAAAAGGAAAGCTGTGGTTTACAGGAATTCCCTCCAAACAGCAACTCAAATTAACATTTAGAAGTTTAAAATATCAAGTAGCACACCAATGCTTCAACACAATCAATGCTTCTGAGCAAAGTAACAAGTCCAAGGAGTTAAATCCTGTTACTCTTTTGACTGAAGGACCTCCCCATGCAATGCCACTGTGTCTCACAGTTGTGTATGTTTCAATATTTAATAAAAATTATCTTTCACCTTTACCAAATCTAAACACAGGATTTACAGCTAATCCACCTTGTGAGCCTCTGAAGTTTAACAACAAACCAAAAAGCTCAGAGTTTTGACAGAAATGAACTTACCTGGTCTGGTGGCATTTACCACCTTAGAAGAAACTACAATTAGTTCTGTAAAACAAAAAGTCAACTCAATTGTTTAAAGTTTATAACAGGATCCTTTAAGACCATTTATTAACTTTCCTGTCCTCAGTCACATCTGGAAGCAACTGGCAATGGGGCTCAGTACAGAACAAAAGTGATTTACACAAGGATATATGTAAAACATTGAAACCGGCTGTCAAGCTTCCATTGTGTAATAAATTTAGCATAATTGCCCAAAAAAACCAATTAAGGCACTTGCACAAATAAAAATTTTCCTCAAAGACATTGCATAATTCAACTTTTTAATATTTTCCAATCTAGAAGTCCTGCTGCCTGAATTATACAAAAAGACCATGTTTCCTTTCAAGAGCTTCTCTGCCTTTCAATTTGCCACAAGTATTGTCAATTTTTTTTTATAAACATGAAAAAAATTACAGAAACATAAGAACACAAATAAGATTAGAAATGCAGCTCTGGAAGTTGCATGTCGCCTTTTTACTTCATACAGATGCTACAGATTCAATATTTTCTGCAGCTGTGCCACTATAACAATTTGTGGATTGATGTCACCTATTCTGTGCTTCTGTGAGTTTTCACTTTGCACCAAGGGGATAAGTCAGTCCTGTAAAACCTTCTCTCCTCTTCCTCACTCCTTTACCCCCAACCCCAACTTCATTTAGGGTCTGAACTTTAAGTTTTGTCAACCACTCCCTAACAGAAGGCAATGAAATGAGGAGGCACATTCTGCCTTTTGTTTCAGTCCTCCCAGGCAGCTCATTCACTGCACTCTCGATCTGCAGACGGAAAATAGGTTATGCCAACCACACCTATAAAATCAGCAAAGCTCATTTCAGACACAGTGAAAATAAAGAAACCCAGAAAAAGCCTGTGTACCTTACAGAAAAACAACAGCAATAAAGATATTTTCTAACTAAGTAGTCTGACCTTAACCTCATGCTGAAATCAGAGTAACAGGAAAGAATTAAATCAGAATTTCACACACATGCAGCTTTTCCCTTATATTAAGTTGATTATGTTACAAAAAACATACAACGAAGTATTATGAAAGGAATCATAAAACAAAGATTGGGAGTGTGGTAACAAAACAGTTGTGGCACTTAAGTTAACACAACATTTCAGAGATGACATGAAAATGAACAGCAAGTTTTTAGGATTTAAATTTTTTTTAAACAATAGATCTGATGCCTCTGATGAAACAGAGGGACAGATTTTTCTTTTGCAGGAGATACTTTACAGAAACACCTTATCCCAGGAGCACCGTTTGTAGCATGTGCTACAAATCTAGTTTGTAAGATGCCAAACAAGGTACTAGTTTGTTACAGTTGCACAGCAAGTACACAGTACAACAGGAACTGATGCAGACTCCAGTAAGACAGTTAATTGATTTCAGTAATGCTCATAGATTAATTTTACCAATTTTCCAGCTGCAATCAAAAATGTCATTTTCCTCATTCCATGAAGTAAATCAAGAGCTTAATTTTTTAAGAAGCCTGTTATTTTATACTATAGAAATGAACACTAATAAAGTTAGAATGAATTTTATAATTTTTCTCAATCACTTCATTTTACCATGGTATTGTACTAATCAGTGAAAATCCAAGATGTGCAAAGATCATTATTTCACTATTTAAAATACTGTAATGGTGAAAAAAAGAAGAAAACTCACTTGCTGCTGTTGCTACTGGTTGGGCAATATTAGGAGGTGGCTTCAGTTTCATGAGTTCATTAAGACTATTATTCTTGAGCAGATCTTTCAGCTGAATCTGGTCCTTGGAAGGTGCAGTGGTCAAGGCATTTCTTACTGCTGGTGCTGCCACCGAGGGCCGGGTGGTTGTGCTGGTCTGGATGATCTTTGCTACAGTGATGGTCTGTCTGGTGGTCGTGACAGGCGTCGTTTTTGTCATCACAATTGTAGTCCCCAAGGTTGGAAGCTGATTTATTTGATTCAGCACAAAGGTTGTGGTGGATGGTGGTTGCTGGCAACAGAGAACCAGGGAGATTTTCAGAAAACAATAAAAAAAACCCAAGCAGACTTTATTAGCCTTTCATCAACAGGAGATACCAGGTTTTAGAAGACACTTGTAATAAGAAATGACTTCAAATAACATGCTGAAGATGCCAGAGTAATTATCTTGTGCTGCAAGAAGTGTCTTTCAATATATTGCTGCACATATTTAGGAAAGTTATTTTTAAATGTTATTTTAAGGTAAGGAAAATAAAAAAAACCAGGATGAAGGATTCATCATCCAGGTACAAGACATGACTACTACAGGTACAGGAACCCTGAGCTAAAGAGAATTCCCAATACATAAACTGCAGACACCAAGGTCAGTGAAGGAGAAGGAGGAGGTGCTCCAGGTGCTGGAGCAGGGATTCCCCTGGAGCCCACGGTGAGGCAGGATGTCTGTCTGCAGCCCACGGAGGTGACAGTGGAGCAGAGATCCACCTGCAGCCCAGGGCAGGTGGATGTGCCCAAAGGACACCGTGACCCCATGGAGAGGAGTCCATGCCAGAACAGGCTTTCTGGCAGCACCTGTGGCCACACAGGAGACACAGCTGGAGCAGCTCATCAAGAACTGCAGCCCATGGGAAGGACCCACATTTGGAAAGTTTGTGAAGGAGCTGCAGAAGCAGAGGAGAAGCGCGAGGAACAAGGAGCGGCAAAGACAACATATGATGATGTCAGGATTGAAGTTGAGCCCAGGACAAAGGGAGGAGTGGGGGGAAGGTATTTTTAGATTTGTTCTTATTTCTCATTATCCTACTCCATTGTTAGCTGGCAATAAATTCATTTCCCCAAGCTGAGGCTGGTCTGCCCAAGACAAACTGCTGATCTCCCTGTGCCTACCTCAGCCCAGGAGCCCTTCACCTCACGTTTTCAGCCTTTGTCCAGCTGAGGAGGGGGCGTGATAAAGGAGCTTAGTGGGCACCTGATGTCCAGCCCAGGTGAACCCACCACACCACACACACAGATCCTGCAGCACCAGTTCTTACCCGAACATTTAATAAGGCTGGAGTAGAAACAGTCTCTGGTTCTTGTTTCACAGCCGATGCAGCCTCAGCCTCCAGGCCCAGTTCTAATGCACTAAGAGGTACTGACTGCAGAAACAAAGCATCAGGAAACAAGTTAGCAGGAATAAAACCTCAAGGCTTCTGTTCCCAGGCTGAAACTGTTACAGTCTGGCAGATTGAAGGCTATCTTGGAGCTTAAACCCGGTATTGTGTTACAGTTTTTGTGCATTTTATAGTAGAGAGGACAGACTCCAGTGACAGAAAAGTTCTCACACATGACAGCATCCTCCACCTCATGTCCACAAATTAAGCTTATTTATGTTTGTGCTTACCTAAAGTGTTTCAAATTGCTTTTTTGTATAAAGATTTAAATTAATAGCAAGTCATTTTCCCAACTCAGTACCATGAAACAAGAAGTCTATGAAAACTCCACATTCTTCAAGCATTCGCTGAGAACACCACCCTCCCCACCCCTCCCAACACACCAAGCCCAAGCTCTCATGTCCTCTAGCAAACCCCTGTTCTTGTTTTAACCTGCTGAACAGCTGGAGTTGGTGCTGGATTTGCAAGAACCACGTCCGGAGAGTCAATATCAAAGAGATCATTTGGACTGATTCCACTCTCACTCAAAGCAGCAAGCAACAGATCTTGTCCTGGCTCCACCATCTCTGAAAAGAAAAAAGAAACAGAACTGTAAATACAAGTTACATTTAATTTTGATCTATTTTTTCGCATGCACAGCACTCCCTTTCCCGGATTTAGGTGCAGCCTCTTGTACACAGAGTTTCACTTTCTAGATTTGCTGGTTCTTTTGTTTGTAGGTTTTTCCTCTGTTTTGTTTTTAAAAATATTTTTAATATGCCCACCACATTTACAAGCAGGAAGAATTAAAAAGTTTACTACAACGTTATCATGGCCATAAACTTTAAAAAACACATTTTCTAGTCTTTGTTGCACTTCATTTTCAAGCATTACAAGACACACCAAAAGCAGAAATGGTGAGACTGTGTTATGCTAATGAACTGTCTTTGTCAGTGAAGCAACGGCAGGAGGGAAGCACAATTAAAACTCATTTACTTTATCTTGTAACAAGTTAGTGATAAAGAGCTTAAGGAAAGCTTTTATTTCTTGCTTGCTGCTACATTAGGTTACATTCATTCACTGGAGAAATTTTGTTTGGCGTGGTGGAAAGAGCAAATGTGCCACTATTATAGTGTGTAACTATATATTAAATAGGACACCACCAGCAGGTCACAGGCTCCTTTATGTGGAGGACAAGCAAAATTAATTTCAAAAAGCTATTCTAGACAATGTAAAAACTTATTAAAAAGCCAAATAGTCCATGTTTAAAGATGAAGAAGGAAGATAACGTGCTTCACTTGCTTAAGAAAGAAACCCTGCCCGAGTATTAAGACAAAAAATTAAATGATTCCACAGAACTTGAGCTGCTGCCTTTACAGGTTAAGATACACCTCAAGTAGGTCTTCACTTCACTTACTCTCCACACCCCCTTTACACCCACTGGTAACAAACAACAAAACCCACCGAAGCCAAACACCTACTCTAAAGCAGGTAAGAAGACAAGAATATTTGTTGGCATTTTAGATATTCCTTCCCAAGCCTCCCAAACAGCATTCCCTTGCTTCTCCTTTGTACAGGCACAGCTCAGCACATCCAGCTGGCTGGTCACACATATTCCTCAGCACGTTTGGCAGAACAGGTAATTCTTGTAATAAGTTAAGCCTGGGGCACTTAATTCTTATTCTTCCTAGTTTTAGTCTGTCCAATGGCAGGGAGAAGCCTTCCTTCAGTGGATTCACACCAAGATGATGGCACCACAAGTGAAGCAGTGGATCTGAGGTGCTGGGACAAGGGGAAAATACACTTTTAAGCAAGCATTTAAAGATACCCAAAGGAGTATCTAAGTAAAGAACACTTGGCAGGACTGCTACTGACCACACACAACCCCATCAAACACCACTTGCTTGTCAGAACCAGACTCTGTTTTTAAAGGCATTTCAGGTGATCAGATAAATTGGCAGAATAGCCTGGTTTGTAGTTACCAGGTACAGAAGACATTAAGAAACATTAAGACACCTAGCAGATTTAATGAACCCACCAGCCTGTCTCCTGGAAGCCTGAACTGGTCAAGAAAAATGATTAAGAACTGACATTCAGCTTCACCTTTCAGAAGGATTGAGGTTCCCATCTCAAAAAAGGGGATTATATATATTAATGGGGTAAGATAAAGCCTTCATTTTCATCAGGCTAAAATCCTACCAGTGACCATCCCATCTAAGTTTAGACACTTACAGCATTGTTTACTAACTAGAAACAGGTGAGGGGAGAAAGGCTCAAGTGTGCAGAGGAAGTTTTTGCTTATCAGTAATTCTGGTGTTCAGAACTCAGGGCAGCCACCGAAGGTGAATTTCTCCACAGAAGGGGAATTCACACAAGTCACCCCATCAAACAGAAGCTCCAAAACGCTCTACAATCATAACTTTACAGTATCCATTAGGAAGAGGCATGAACACCCTTCCACAAAGTGTTCAAAGGATGAATAAACTAAAATCTTTCAGTGTCCAAGAGAAGAAAATGTCACTTGTGTCATTCTTTGGTCTGGAAGGAGTTTTGATCTCCAAAGACAGATGACTAAAACTTGGTTGAGAGATAAGTGGCTGTACTGAATAGAAGCACAGAAAGTCTGAAGCTTGGGGCTGTTTACTTCAAGAGAACTAGGAGAAAAAGAATTACTCCAGATGACTTCTAGTCTACTCTCACAACGTACAAAGGAAAGGCCTTTCTATGAAGTTGAGACTCAAAACAAAACCAAGGCTAGAAAAACCCCCTCACACCAACACCACACAAACACATCTCCCCCAGCCATCCTAAAATGGTGTCACCACCCATCAAGTCTCTTTTAAGTCAAGTTTAACATACCAGTGATGACACTGAGCTCGACATTTTTAACCTTTAAAACCATGATGGCTCAGATATCTTAAGACAGTTTCACAGAGTTCAGAAGTAATGCTTTAATTCCTTATTTCCAAGTTTTCACTAGATGACTGGTGAGGGGAACCAGCAAAGCAATTTCTACAATTCCAGGGTATCTCCAGAGGCATCCCTTGTCACTGAGAAATCCCCCAGCTGCATCACTCTCATGATAACCCCAATTTTAAGTCTTAAAAATTTGTGGTTGCTCACAATCCAGCAAAAAGTTCAGTAAAACAACTGCAATTGTTTGTCTGTCAGTTTGGACAATGAAAGTTTGACTAGTTTCAGTTATTTTGTTTCTGTACACTAGGAACAAAGCTGCATTGTTTGGAACAAAAGGAATTCTGAACTTCCAGAATTTTTACATTAAAAGTCACTGAATACTTAGCACCAATTTTAGGCTTTGTGTAACTTCCAAGCCCCACTGCTGCCCACCCTCCCTGTTTTAATTTAGCAAGGAAATTAAATGAGGAGAAAAATACAGGAGAAGCTGCATTGTGGTAGCTGAGTTTATTTTCTGTAACACATGCTGGTTAAGCCTAAAACATTATCAGGCTGAAACAGCTCCATAATCTTGCAAGGTAGGAGGCTCCTCAGTTAAGTGAAAAGTGACTTTATCAAGCTCTCCAGCTCAGCCTTGGCAATACTATATAAGGACCTGTTTGCCACATCTTCAAAATCTCCAAAAGAAAATACTTATTAAAAAGTTGTGAATATTACAAGCTGTTCCCTCAGCATTTCATCACTCCAAGAACTGTTTTGAGTGTGCAGAATCTTGCAAATAAGATTGTCTATGTTTAGTGAGGTTGTTCAATGTCACTGAGCAAAAATCAACCTATGAAATAAAACTAAAAAAAAGTATTTATAAAATGTCAACAGCAGTAGTTTCTCAATTATTTTCCTTGTATTAAGAAAAAACGTAAACTGCTGCCATTTCAAGAAGTGCTACCAAAACACATCAAGTATTTCTATAAGGTTCTCTTCTGCTGAAGAATACAGCCCAAAACTTTGATAAAAAGACAGTTTTGCTACCACTGTTTGGTATTATGTAAATAATTTCTGGTTTAAAGACACAAAACCAGAATGCCATGTTTAATACTATGTCATGTATCCATGCCAACCTGGCTCTCTCCTTCCTTCCATTTTAGCTTTGGTACAAAAAGCAAAACAAAAAAGAAGAAAAAAAGATTTTAAAACACATGTCGAGCAACCTGCTCTGTTTGCCCTGAGAAAGATAATGGTTGAATCCCAAACAATGAAGTGGCTTTTGATTTTCAGGTCTGTGAGTTACACACTGTAACACTGTATGCCTGAAGTGCTTATTTAAAAACCATAATCAATTATAGAATCACAGGTTAGTCCAAATCAAACATCACAATCAACCAGGCACAGCTATTCCCAAACCCTCTGGACACCTGGGCTCTGTCCTGAATCCAACTGCAAACTTGGGTGTTAGTGCTTGGCCTGGGACACCAATGGAGTTGGCAACTCCTGTTCTCATTTTATTGGAAGGGTTTATCCCACTGGCTTTTTGAGGAATACATGTCACCCGGAAGCCATTTAAAAAAGCACACAAATACTGCAGTTGTAGAGACAAGACAGACACCCCCCCCAAATTCCCTGCTAGTCTAAACTGTGAGTTATGAATGATCTGAAGTTTCACATCTTTCTTTGCAGCCTCTCCCAACAGAGGTTTAAGGGCTGTTAACCCCCACCCCACACAACAGGATTCTCTGGATATCCACGTGGGTTCAGCTCATCTCCCAGCTTTTGGCTCCAGAAGGCAACCTGGGCAACAACAAAAGAAAAAACCCAACCAGCCCAATCCCTCCTGGCCCTTTCCAAGTCCCCATCCAATCAAAGAGTAAAACCCTAATTACTGAACTCGCTCATCCTTCCCTGCCTTAACCCCAAGACCAGTAGTTAACGTTTCATTTACATGTGCAAGGTTGTTTTCACAAAAATCAGAAGTTAATCCAATCCTGGAAAAAATCCTACCTATCTTTCCAATGTTGGTTACCTCTCTAAAGTCAAAGCTTGCAAGGACATAAGGGATGGTTCAGGGTGCTGTGGGATTACACTCTGCCTCAAAGCTCTTTAATGACTATTCTGCAAAATTTACAGCAGTCAGGATACGCTGTCTGAAAACGTGGAATTCAGAAGTTCTTAAATATTAAGAGACTTTACAATGCAATGATTTGGCATGAAATCAGCTTTTAGACTAAATGGCCGGAGGTGATAATTTAACCAGTAGCAAAAGTTTTTAAGAAGTGAAAAGTCAAGGAGATAAGAGCAGCATAAGAGCACTACAACCCCTCCTTAGTTCTGGCCTGGGAGCCAGTTCCAGGTGCACCTCAGAGCACCAAAAATGCATTCCCTATATCCCTGACCTGCTCCAATGGCTTTTAGAGCAGCTCTCAGCCAGTTCTGAAAGCAAAGAAATTGTCTGGACAACAAGACAAACTGCCCACATTTTATGTCTAAAGACTAAGATTGCATACAAATAGAACATCTCGTGGCTGTAAGGCAGATACGGAAAACCAATCCAAATGTCATGTTGTTACACAATTTCTGCCATAATAAATTCTTTGCTTTACATCATCAACTACAGTTCTTCAATTTTCAGGGAGTGCAGCTTGCAAAACAGTCAGGTATTGATATAATTTTAATCCAGACACAGCGCTGGTAGTCTAAAGCCAAATAGGTTATCACTGAGTTAATTCTTAACTTTAGATCGTGTCATTTGGTTACACCAATAATTTTATTTACTTGCTTTGGAGTTATCTAATAGATCAATTCAGAGGTATTTTTTAAGCATTTAAAAAATTGACCTCATCTGTAAGAGACACCAACCATCTAAAACCAACCTATGAGTACCTGGAAGGAAGTACAATTTACTCTCAAACTCAGTGTGGAACTTGGTCAGCTAAAAATAATAAAGAAACAACCTAAAAAAAATAGAAGAAAAAACCCCGCAAGGAAGAAAACCCCACAAGGCCTCTTCCCTTTCAGACTATAGGGGCATTTCTACGTTAAATAATTACTCACCCTAGCAACCTGTGTTTGAGTCCCTGGACTTTGAGGCCGTGTCTGTCGCTGCGGTTCAGCTCCCCTGAGGCTGCGGGGCCCCGGGAGGGCTCTGCCGGGCGGGGAAGCCCCAGGGGAGGCGGTGGGAGGGCCGGAGGGTCGGCGGCTGCAGCCCGGCCACCTTCCCACCAACACGTGTTCGCGACATAAACTTCCGGGTTGGGGCCAGAATCGGCTGCGTAATCGTGTCCCAGGCGCGACTTTTTTGTTTCCAGACCTTCACCTCTTTGAACGTCCCTCCAGCAGAGCCGCGATCGCGGGGGAGGGCGGGAGGGCTCCGTCTCACGGCGGCTCTCGGAGCCGCTCCGGCTCCATAAATCAAACCCCCCCATCCCCCCGTTGCCAGCCCCGACAATCACTGGCCACGCAAGGAGCGCACAAAGGCGCGGGCCGGGCGGGGGGCTCTGCGGGGCGGGGGGGCGGCCAAACCCCCCCGCCGCCTCCGCCCCTGCCACAGAACGGGCTCCGCGGGACCCCGGGGGGGCTCCGCCGCCCACCCCCGCACGGCCCCGGGCGCGAAGTTCGCGGGACTCCCGGGGCTCGGCCAGGGCGGCGGCGGCGTCTTCCCCGCCCTGGGGCCGCCCCCGGCCCGCCGGGACCCCCGCGGGGGCGGCGGCGCGGCCTCCCCGGGGCTGAGGCGCCGAGCGAGACGCGGGGCCGCTCCCGACGCGGCGCGGCCCCCCCCACCCCGGACACCCCCGCGGGCCGCGCTGAGGGGCTGAGGGGAGGGAACCCCGCGGGGCGGCCGCGGGGCGCGGCCGGAGGCAGCCAAGCGGGCGCGGCACCAGGCGCGAAGGGCGGCGCGGGACTCACTCTCTGTGGCGCTCGGTCCTCCCGTGGGCTCCTGGAAGTGTCCGCCGCCGGCCCCGCCGCCCGCCGCTTTCTAACTCACGGCCGCCATCTTTGCCCTCCCTCCCCTCACAGGGAGGGGGGGGGCCGTGGCCGCCCGCACCACGTGACCCGCGCCGCACCTCCCCCCCCACGCGCGCTCCCCCCTTCCACGTGACCCCGCGAGCCACCGCCCCGCCGCTGGCGCGCGCTCGGCGCCACCACGTGACTCTCCCCGCCCCCCCCGCGCGGCCTCCCCGGTCACGTGGCCGCCGCCGCCGTCTCGCGCCCGCCCCCCCCTCCTTCACCCCCCGCCTCCCACCGCCGGGCCCTGCCGCGCGCTGCCCGCTCTCCCCCGCCACCGGACATGCCGCGACACGGGGGTTCCGTGCTCCCAGCAGCGCGAACGCAGCAAGTTTCTCCACCCTCTAAAAAAATAAAAAAAACCCGGCGTATCCACCGTCCTTAAAATAAGCGATGTCCCCGCGGGCGAGCCCCGCCCGCAGTCGAGCCTCGGCGCTCCGGGCCCGGTTCCCGGCGGGTGAGGGGGTGTGGGGGGGGAGGGGAAGGCGGAGGCGAACGGCTGCGAGCGGTCACGTGACAGCTGCCGCTCCAAGATGGCGGCCGGCGGCGAGAACGCGGCGGCGCGTTCTCGCGAGATTTGGCGTTTCTCGCTGCATCACGGGCGGGGGG